GCGCAGAGCTTTGGGGCGTATTCCAAGGACTGAGAGCAGCGTGGGAATCGGGGTCTCGCCAGATTATTGTTGAAGTGGATAGCATTCATGTTACTCAATTATTGGGTACTCAGGTCGCTTCTGATGGAATTCATGCGCAAATGGTGCGGAATATACGTGCTCTTATTGAGAGAGATTGGACGGTAAAAATTCAACATAACCATCGAGAAGCAAATATGGCGGCGGACTACATGGCGAAAACGGCGGCGTTGAACCCGATTGGGTTCCACTATGTCTTTTCACCTCCGATAGGTCTTAAGGAATGGATAGTTCACGATTGCATAGGGACATCGTATCCCCGTCAAACCCTTAGCTAGGCCGAGGCCTAGTCTCTTTATACCAAAAAAAAAAATTGAGGAGAGCTGCCACCAGTGTGAACAAAAAATTATTAATAGACAAAACGTTGGATACTAAAATTAATTTATGTGAAAACTTCGAGTACCCAAAAAAAAAATATTAACAATAATAATAATAACAAAATAAAATTGGGGTACCATATTTTATTTTTACCTTTGGCTATAAAACCAAAGACATCATATATTTTTTGGTGCAATAAAGGAGACTAAAAGGCCTAGAACTTCACATCCCGATGTTATCATGCGTGAGCCATTCTCCCACTCCCGGCGGAGGAGATGAGAGCCGGTGTAGTCCGAGCGGATAGGAAGCCGCCAAGCTCACCAGAAAGTCCGCCTCCCTATAAACTAGCTGCTCTACTACATAAATCTCATATCTCTCCATTAAACACACCACATCAAAATCATCCATGGCAAAACTAAACATTTTCTTTTTACTACTATTTTTCTTCCACAACAATCATCTTCCAGCAGCCCAATCAAAGCCCGCATCCGGCCCAAACCAAGAGCCCCTCGACTTCATCAAAGCCGAATGCCGGGCCACCCGCTACCCGGCCCTCTGCGTCCAGTGCCTCTCCAACTACTCCGCCACCATCCAGCAGAGCCAGCGCCAGCTGGCCCGGGCCGCCCTCTCAGTGAGTCTGGCCTGGGCCCGGTCCGCTGCCGCCTTCGTCTCCAGGCTGGCAAGAATCGAGGGCATGAGGCCCACGGAGCACGCAGCCGTGAAGGACTGCGTGGAAAACATGGGCGACACCGTGGCCCAGCTGTGCCGGTCCGTGAAGGAGCTAGGCTCGATGGGCCGAGGCCCGGGTCAGGAGTTTGAGTGGTGCGTGAGCAACGTCCAGACGTGGGTAAGTGCGGCCCTGACAGATGAGGACACGTGTCTGGACGGGGTTTCCGGGTCGGGCCTGGACGGGAGCGTGAAGGGGAAGATAAGGAGACGGGTCGTCGGGTGTGCCCGGGTGACGAGCAACGCGCTGGCGCTGGTTAATAGGTTTGCGGCCAAGCACAAGGCCGGTGGTTCGATGAGCGGTATAAATGGGATGCCTTAATTAGGGCTTCGTTAATGTTTTGATGGGAATAATTTAGCAATTATTACTGGAATGTTTTCAGTTCTAAATGTCTCTGCATCGGAAATATTTGTGGCGATTTGTGTTTTGTGGGTGTGTTTTGGCTGGGCTGATGGAATTTATTTATGTAGATGTATATAGTGATATGCTAAATGTATATATATGTATGCATTGTGACAAGTTGTGAGGGGTAGAAAGTGGCTTCCATCTTGTGTTTAACTAGTGTACTCGTAAATATTCTCCTACTCGCGGTGGGCACATTTTGATATGCTAATGTGGGCACATCTTGTGTATTTTTTGAACTTCTTAACATCTTCTGTATTTTTTGAACTTATTAACATCACCAATGTGTACATGCCACATGAACGATGGGTATATTAACATGTGCCCAAAGCACACATCTTGTATATTTTTTTAAACTTATTAACATCACCAACGTGTACATACCACATAAACAGTGGATATATTAACATGTGCCCACCGTAAGTAGGTGAGCATTATTGTGTACTTTAATGCGTTGGTTGTAGTTACTTTTGTCATTGAGCCATCGGACTCTTCCATAAACGATAAGGGGGTGATTGTTTATGAATTCATCTAGTTTTTATTTAGTTTGTTTTTTAACTATAGTTAGTTTTAGAAAAATGTGGTATGATTAGTTGTTAGTGGATATATTAAAATAATATTTAAATATAATAATTAAAGTTGATTTGATGTAAAGTATGAGAAAAATGATTGAAAGTGATAGTTAGTTAAAATTATGTGAGTGGATGAATAGTGAATTAAAGTTGATGTGATGCGTAAGAAAGATTGGTTGATATTATTTAATTATATAATTTATATTGATAATGTAGAAGATAGTGGGGTTGGGTTAAAGTTGAGTTAAATTTTAATTTTAATTGATTTTTTTACTGTACAAATCATAAACAATCGCCCCCTAACTAATTTTTCTTGCAAATTTTGTGGAAACAATGTCTCATGCACATTTATGCAGTTGATTTCGAGTTTCAGGTAAAAATTATCAAGTCTGCAATAACAAAACAATCACATCAGAAAAAAAATTACCAAAAGGGTAAAAATTATCAAGTCTGCAATAACAAAACAAGCACATCAGAAAAAGGGACAATTGTGACAACCGTACA